TCAATAATTTATCGTGAAATATTTTTAATTGTTTTTAATATGACCCTATTATATTACAGAGGTATAGCTTAAGGGCCCCATATTCTTTAAATAGTGTTTTCCGCAAAGACAAATAATTTCAAACATTTAATAACTGAATAATCTAAAGCTTATCAAATAATAGGAATGTTATGTCATGCCACCTGAGTATTTTCAAAGACGCCGCAGTAAAACGAATAAACAGGTGCAAAAAACGATCAAACCATCAAGGTTTTAGGTACTGAAATCTACGAAAATACTAACTTTTTTATATATAATTCCACATGTAAATATTCTTATAACATTTACTTGCTTAGTCCTACATATAAAATTGTTTATTTTTATTTATAAGTACGTGAAAATAATTCTTAAAATGTGGGGTTAGAATAACAGCAAACGCATGTTTTACAAACGCTTTTTTTTAGTTATTATTTTATTTGAGTAAATTTAAATGGTAACAATGAATAAACAAAACATCAAGGATTTTATTTTTGTGCTTACTTTTGTTCTACACGTTTTACTTTTAAAGATTTCAGTAGCTAAAAACGCCAGAAATTTCACTATTTCTCGGCCAGGAATATGGCCACCTTAATAATAAATTTTATTATTCTATTCAGGAATAAACGTAAAATTGCGTTTTAATTATTTTCCGTTCATAATAAGCATATGTTTTTTTTCACATTCAAGATAAGAATCGATTACCTATTATTCCATTAAATAAAAACGTTTAATTCGACGGAAAACAAATTTATTATATAAGCCTTAAACAACGAAAGTCTCGTGAATAATCCCTATTTCTATTTTCTAAAATTATGTCAACTGTTACAATGAGTTTTATTTCTATTGATTTTTCCAACTATAAACTAGGTCAAACGCGACCCATTTCAATTTATCCTTTACATATTTTACTACTGTTTTATGTGAAATAGATTATTCCATATTAACGCAACAATGTTTGCAATTTTATTAACATATAACATAGTAACTAAGAAGGATATTTAATTAATTGTATAATATACCAACCTTCTGGGTCTAGGGAAGTGAAACGTATCTAGATTATATAACAAACATATTCCAGTAATAAAATAAAAATAAAGAACTTTCATTGGTTCAGAAACCTCCATCAAGTTACGATTTTCTGAAATCGAATGTAAGAAGGCCCCGATTAGATTTACTTGCAATTTATTTCAGATGGTATGCGAGGGTTAAAAATATATAGGAATTTATTTTTAAAATTGAAGTATAAATACCGGTGTTCGATTTGAAAATCAATTACATATATTTCTTTTAATTGAATTAGTAGTAAAAATACATTGTAGGAGCTACATTCTGCAGATATTAATTATATTCTATTTTCAGTTTGTTTTTATTCAATCAGAAACATAACGAATGAATTGATGGCATCTGAATTGAAGTAAAAGATAAATAATACAGTAATTGCATAAGGTATTTTATAATCGTCAGAAATGATTATAATTATTTTATTTTTTAGTGTCAATTAATCACGTAGGTCTAAATTCGTTTATTAACCTTATTAACTGCTGATGGAACTATTATCCAAATAGAAATATTTGGGAACGGGACTGAATTATGTCTTCTATTTCTTGTACTATATTTACAATGGGAAACTCGAATAATCTTTGATCTTTTAGTAGTATCAACACTTATTTTCTAAAAAAATCTATAGGCATTTAAATTTACCCTTTATGAAACAACAGATATAGTTTTGACAATAATTATGAAATTAATCTTAAAAATATGTTGATAACGCATTGAAACTTGAATGTAACAATTTATGGTTGGAAAATTAAAAGTGAAACCCTTTGTACACACCTAACTTTATACACACAATTTCATAAATTGTTTCGCCTAGTGTAATCTCTTAACCTGCATGTGTTTTGATCCAGGAAACGCCAATTATCATTGAAATCAAGTGAATAAACGGGATCATGTCGTACAACAAACGCGTTATATACAGACCAGTTTAGAAATACTGTACCGGCAACGAACCGCACAAATAAACCAAAAATTCATCGAAATAGTGAAGTTATAAATATTATAAACCCAATAGTGAGTCGTTTAATGAATTTTAATAATTCAGCGAGTCTAACCGGGCTGTGATAAAAGACCCTAGGGGGAAGTTTTAATCAGCTAGGAGGGCATGTTGATGGGCTTTGCACGAATTTAACTGAGCGTGCTATGCCCACCATGGCGACCCATGGAGGAGTTCTGTATTACGTAGTCAAAGTGCCAAAGGACCACGACGGCAGGTGGGTTTCTAGGTCGATATTACTTTTAATTAGAGGGTTGATATGGAATTAACGCCACTAGTGTTCGGGCGTAATGAATTATTTATAGTTTTACCTACTTTGGGGAGTACGAAATTACTAAAATGACACCCTTGTCACGGGTCCCAATTTTGAAGCATAATTGTACAACAAAATAATATGTAGATGATCTTGTAAGTTCTTAAAAATTGAAATATTTGATTTATTGAAATTTTCAAGCTATGTTTATTATCATAATTATTGATAGTTATTATAAACAAAAACTTATTAATATTAATTTGTAAAAAAAGTTCAAATCTTACCACAACCTGTCTTTATAACTTTCTTACAGAGTTTTGTTAATTTCAGTAATTTTCCGAATGTAATAAAATTTCTTTTTTCCCTGGCGCATTCGCCAAAATCTCGAAAACCTATAAACTGATATTTAGTCAATTTTTAATGAATATTTAGATAGATTCACACATTTAATTTTTTGCATAATTTTTTTAAAAAGTGTCATACACTAGTCACAAAAATTGAAGGCTAAAAAAACCTTAAATTTTTAGCAGATTTTCAAAAGGCTGTAAACTTGGCAAAAAAATGGTCGTAAAGCAATAAAAAAGCAAATTGGAAAGGTTTCTAGTTTCAGGACATGAAAGTTAACAATTTTATCGGTGATCACGTTTAAGAAATCATACCTAATAAACCTACCTAGCAAAAAAAATTATTACAAAATTTTTGCTTCTTTTTTTTCAATTTCACCATCAGCTCTTTTAGTTTGGTTCATTCCAATGTTTTGTCTTATGTTTAAAGTGAAAAATTACCTATTTTCAAATTAATTTCTTTAAATTTTTGTTTTCAACAAAATACCAACTATTATATAGTGTTCTGAAAGTTGATTCACTTATTTTAACAGCTGGTTGAACTCGTAAAAAAAGTTGGTTTTGTCAAAAATCGTTTATATAAAGCAATTATTAACAATTATTTAAAAAAATTGAAATTTAAAAACTATAATACAAACCTGATTTATTGTCATTTTCACCACTGCGTTGTAAAAACATAAATGGTAAACAAATGGTAACAATTTTGAACAATTTTTGTAGAACAGGATTTTTTCTGTAACTTTTATATAAACGATTTTTGGTAAATCGACTTTTTTTACGAGTTCTACCAGCTGTTAAAATAAATGACTCAACTTTGAGAACACCCTGTATAACGTGGTAAGTCCACCTATAGTAGGATCATATTCGATGCAAAGTAATAAATCATTGCCTGTCAAGGGAACCAATGAAGTACGCTTTTAAGGGTTTTACAAATTGAATAATTTCTTTATACATTATGAAGGGACGAGGGGATCAGTTCAGGTCTGGCACCCTTGTTCCTACAAAAATTCCTTTGTTCTCATAAACTATTCATTTTAAATGTAATTTATTATAAATCCAATTTGTTTCCTAAATTCCACATATGTACTACATTTTACCTCTGTACGCGCCACTGTTGTTTACTTGTTTTTTGGAAGCGCTCTCTAATTGACGGCAAAGCTCGCCAGGTTAGTATTTGACGTATAACCGACCAGTTCGTACACTCGATGCACCTGGGCGACTACAGCTACTACCAGAACACAGTGCGTATGCAGCGGTATTTCAGATTTTACATTGAATTTCATTTTAAATTTGAAATGATTTATCTTACGCCTCCTAAAAATGATGACACGATTTTTCTTTGATAAAAGACCGACAACTTTTTGCTCAACTTTGCATCGAATACGATCCTACTATAGATACTTTTAGTAATCTAATAAAGAAAAAAGTTTATAATTTTTTTGAAAATCAATGGAAATATTACACTTCAATGACGCCTTTTTGAAATACATCAAGAAAAAACTGGGCACTCCCACTATGTTCTACACTTCTACACAAAAGACTCTTCTTTTTATAAAACTTGCAGGGTAACGATACTTGTTAATATGACAACAATTTCTGTAAATCAAATTTCCACTAATCTGTCGGATTGTTCATATAAAATTGTCAACATTAATATCAAGATTACAAGATCCATGTAAAATTTAAATTTATTATAATTTGGCCGCCCATACTACAAATATTTGATTCAAACTGATAGATAAACAGCTTGTTAAATATTAAACATTTTCGCACATGTGGTATACGAACTTGACAGGGCCCCTTTTTGGGTTGATTAGTCATACATTAAGTAGAAAAAGTGTTTATTATTTTTTTTGTCAATTCACTTGTGCCACAGGACTTTAAATTATCTAAATATTGTTCAAATAACACCAGAAACTAGATATATAAAATATACAGTTGTACCAAAAACATTCAAAACTGGCGTTACTTTAAAAATATGTTATAGTGAATACTTAAAAACTTGTTTTTTATTGGTTATATAAAAGACACTTGTCTAGCAGTTCTACAAAAATTATTTCGGGTTCCCGTGAGTAAGAACCCGTTGGAATTTTTGCCGTGAAAATATCCCATTGGCTAATAAGAGATTGGGATATTTTCCGATACGCTTTTCTAAAATCTATATAACAATGCAGATCTGTAAAATCGGACGAAAAAAATTAAAGGTTACTGGGGGTGACCAGTTCTTAAAAAAAACACCCTGTACCTTTATTAGTATTTCATCTAAAGCGATTTATTTTACACCAATACAAGAACTATATTATTTTAACTAATCCTACAATTTCTATTACAGCATCGAGAGCGGCTGGGACAACCCCTTCCGACCCGGGGGAGACCTGAGCCGGGAGGCGGACGAGATCGTGGAACTGATAAAAGGGGGCAAGCCCATCACCCCCACCCCAGGTCAAGCGCCTCCTTTGCCCTCGCTGGACGAGGCCGACCACAACAACATCTCGAACAACATCCAGGAGTCCGTGCCCATCACGGAATCTCCCAAGAAGGCGACGACGCAACTCAACGCGTCAGCGCCCCCCAAGAGCGTCAACGGCACCGCAAAGAACGATGCCAAGGTGAAGACGTCTCCCCCGGGTGCCGTCGATATCCAGAGGGGGACGGTGAAGCCCGCCGGAGACGCTCTACAGGCGGAGCACGTCACGATAAAAAAGAAACCCAAGTGCAAGTGTTGTGTTATACAGTAACTTTGGGTAGTCGATAGGGTTTTGTTACTGTTATATATTTTATATAGATAAGTAGGTGTGGAAAGATCGGGTTGAGCCAGGTTTAAGGAAGCGGTATCTGTGATAGGTTTTTTTATCTCCATTCGGACGTTGTGATTGAGCTCGGAATACTCAGATGTTGGCTTTCGGAACGGGCCTTCCTGCAAAGTCGGAACTACGATGTGTTCTACAAAACGTAGTACCTCATATTTACGTTAGAGGAAGCACCGTTGTTTTTATACTCAAATCCAAATGAAAAATCGATTAGGTACTTTAATAGTATCCTGAAACTAAAATTACCCGTTTGGGAATGAGGTTTTGATCTAGAAACGTTCCGTGGATATTTAACGGTAGTTTGTAAGACTGTTTTCGGAAAGAGGAACATGTTTAGAAAAAACTATGGAGGTAAAAGCAGATTTTCGTGTGATAACGCTACACATACAGATTATGTAGTCACAAAAGACATTTATAAGATAACGTTAAAGTTATTTATAGTGGTGCTGTTGTATCGCTACTATCCACAAAATCCTTGTTTATATATAACATAGTTAGACAACCAGTCCAAGTTGGGAATGAAAATACTAGATGGCGACTCTAGTATGCCACACTGCCCTTATAAAGCCAGTAATTCATGGTTTGTATAAGCATAACGGGGATTTCATGGAAAGTCGCCATCTGGTGTCTTCCTTCCTAATTTAGACTGATTGTGTAACTATATTTATATATAAACAAGGACAATGGTATTTAATCAACTTCACTTATTTAAATTCTCACTTTGCAAACATTTAATCGCAGTGGTTACACAATAGCTTAACTATTGATATGCTGTAATCAAGAAATTCTCGACCATTTGCAAATATATTCTTTTTTTCTCTCGAAAACAGGCCATTTATCACACCACTTTTCGGGTACCTCTACGCACGCCATTCGAAACGTTATAATTATATTTTTATTATCTTTTTACATTTATACAAAGATAGTTTTCTAATTAACCCTTTATTTTTTTTAATTTACTGTTTTTTTATCGATTTTTTATATGTCGTATTCATGTCCTTACGGTACGAAAGTACAAATCTAAATCAAAGAGCAAAGTATATTTTTGTCGATAAAAATCGCTTTATCTCAGATACTATCTGTTGTATATTATAAATATAAAAGTGATATAATTGTCAACCCGATCTTTTTTCCATCGTAATCGAGCTACATGCTTAACATGCTTTAACCAGTCACACAAATACTAGAGCTACAATTCTTTTTTTTTTTTTTTCTATATATACTTTAAAAAACCATAAATCGAGTGCATGTTAAAGAATAAGTCAGTTGAATCTCTTCTTAAACTAGGAAGATCAAAATTACTTGGACCTTTTACCAAAAAATGCGAAAGGTTGTTCTGTTCTTGCGTATATTATAAGATGTTGTACAGAGACTTGATAATACATTGTATATTTTCAATGGACATCACGGAAGTGTGGAAGATGTACAAATAGTTCCGCGCTCCTCCATGTGCTATTAGCAATACGTAGTATTCGGAGAATATTTTATATATCATAAATCGGCAGGTGAGAGTGTACTTGTGAGCTTCAGCTTGTTGCTGTAGGGTAGCTAGAGTAGCAACTATTTACAAGGAAGTGTTGTTTATTTTCAATTTCAGCAAAAAAATCCATCACCCTCAGATCCATATAATTTCGAACATTTTACCATTGATTCATATGTGATGTTTTTAAAAATAATTTTTTTCAACGTATCTACAGCCTTGGCCAGAAAAAGTTCTCGACCTAAAACATTTACTGTGGTCTAAGGTATGAAAATTATAAAGCTTCGTTTTATAAAAGGTTTATATCGGGGAATTTTTATTGTCCACGGCTGTACATAGTTCATATTTTTTGGGAAATATTACCACTTTTAAAGCGTAGGTGTTTTTAATTCACTAGAATAGTACTTTACTAATCAACGAGTAGCTTAATTTATCTAATTTAGGTTTAGCGTTTTGTGTTAATAACACAGGCCGACAAAATTCAACTGACATAAACCAGAAAGCCGCCTCCACTTTTCCAAAAGTTTTCTGGCGTTGAATCCCAATCCGATTCCAGAACTGCTCCCTCACATCAAATTTTAGAGATATCCTCAGCTAAAAGTGCGAAAAACACGATTGGTCACTATATTTGAGGTTATGTTACATCACGAGGTTGTTTTTCAACACAAAAGTCGTTGTGCCATCTGCAACTACTACTCTTTTTTTTCAAAATCCATTTTGAATTGTTCAGCATTTTTTTGCCTCCAAGAAATCGTTTGTTGAGTTGATGTATTCGTCAGTAATCGGAAATTACTGAATATTAACTTTCAAGGTCAGGTGAAGAAAAGGAGAGAAGAATCAAATTACCAACAGCCAAATTCCTAAGGGTTCTGCAGGTTTTCAAAATGACATTTTTTTTGTATTCCGTTCTTCACTATCTGCCGTTTTGAATTTTGTAGCATGTACATGATTCGTAATCAGCGACACCAAAAACCTGAACAACACGTGGGAATTTACGCGATTGTACAAACTTAGTTCTTCTTCTTCTCATTTGAGTCTTCTGGTCCTACTTGCTAAAGTAATAAATTTCAATAGACGATTTAACGCAAACGAAAGAACACATTCGAACCATTTAAAACAGAATTTGAAGGGAAAAATAGACCTTTCAGATGATATCGAGAGAAAAATCACCTCGCAGTGTAACATAACCTCAAATAGTGCGAAAATTCGTTTTTCGCTCTTTTAGGTTAGGATCTAGAAAACCTGACATGATGATGTAATTCTGCGGTTAGATTTGGATTCAGCGCAGAACCTTCATAACAGTACAGTGTGATTTCTGGTTTAAAATTTTATCGGACTGTGCAACTGCAATCTATTAATTTTTTTTAAATTCAGAATTGAATGTATTTTTTTTTCGACGCATTTAAAATTCTATTTTATTACGTTTGAAGTCGATATCTAACAATAACTTACTGGTCTGATTATACTCGGATCGTCTCTGAATATAATCGGTTTCTTAAATATATCAAAATTAATAAATACACTATTATTATTTTGAATGGTATGCCGAAGCAATAATACGCGTATTTAATTGTGACATTTGACGTGTTTAAGGAAATTCTCCATGTAAGTTTTACTCAAAGTGGCAATCTAGTCAAAAATTTATTTATCGTGAAAAGTTTCACTTATATTTCTAAAATAATATAAGTAAAACTGTTTGATTTTTTTACATTAGCTTTTTAAATTATAATTGTAGTTATAATTTTTATCAAGAAAAAGGACATTCCAATTTTTATTATCTAAATATTTCAAGAATATTTAGGATAATAAAACTGTTGTACTAACTTTTGTGAGTGTTTCTAGTTACTAGTTTCGATTTTACGTTTCAGTTGCCCAACAGAAATGTTCTCTTTAATTATCACATATAAGAATGCCCGTTTGCATATTACTCGTACAGTTGTGGACAAAAAAAGGTTTCCCATTGTATGCAGTTGGAAACTTTTTATTGTCCACAACCGTATGTATAGTGTAGCAAAAACAACTCTTCGTTTTTGCTAAATTAAAACTAAACAACATTTCCAGATATAAAGAAATGTGATTAACACAGCTACATAACTATATTTTTACATTATGTAAAAGTTATATATTTATATATTTACTTAAGAAAAGTTATTTGTGTCGAGTGTGTACTGTTTATATAAGGATTACTTCTATGTGTACAGATGGATAATTATTTCGCAACGATTCAAATAAAAGCAGCTTGTAGGAGCAACCGAAACGGACTGAAAAAAACCCAATGAGTAGCTATTTAATTTGCAAAGCAGCTATTTTCATTTCCACTTGGCGATAATATAAAGAGGTTATTTATTTATGCGAAAATATTTATGAAATATCAAATTTGGCAACTTCAATAATACTTGATTTACGAATGTAAAAAACCGCTATTTTGCAACCAAATTTTAAACTGCGTGAGTTGTTTTAAATTATGTACGTGGACGGACGCAAATAACTTTTCTCGAAGTAGTCCTTTGTTTAAAAAATGACATATACATACATACGTTAAAAATAGTACACTTATTTTTATATAAGCAGAGCTTGGCGTCAGTGTTCTAATGTTTAAAAAAAATAAATTCGGAATAACGTGGTACCCAGTAGAAAAACCTTAGTTATATGTTTTAACTATCATGCAGTTTTATACAGTTTAGTGAATAGTTATTGTTGTTAATATTATTTGTTGTATATGTGTGTTTGCGTGTCAGGAAATGAAAGGTGTAAAAATCAAAATGCGAGCGAGTCATTATTTTGGTAAAAGGATATTTATTATATGTAAAATTCATTAACTATAAATGGAAATAAGGCACAAATGTTCGGTAGCTATTCGATGTGCAGGGACGGTTATTGCATTATTGACATCGAGCAATCGCAGCTTCAATTTAAAAAACCATTGTTATAGTACAAAATGCCGTAATTGGTTTTACAAATTTGGTTTCAAGCCTCAAAATGTGTATTTGATTGAAACGTAGCCGTATCATTAATTTTTACTAATGTTTCCAAACAAAACTGTATTTTGTGCCTTTTTTGATTCCCTGTATATTTAATATTTTTCGGTATAAGTAAATAACGTCCCCTGTAATATAGTATGTGTATGTAAAAATCGCAGCTTTTTATGCTTAAGATGTATAGAACTTAGACTGTACATTGGCATCATATTTAATATGTCTCCCCACTTTTATAATTGATATTTACTTATAACTTTTCTTTATATATTTTAATATATTTTGTGTATTATACTGTATTATAAATTAACCTTTATTTGTATACCATGCCACATTGCATTAAAAATAACTTGTGATGTACACAACAGAACGGTGTTTTATTTCAACGACATAGTCATCTAAAAAAATAATCGAGTGTTCGACCAAAAGGGATCATTGCACTTATAAGTTTTGTCTGAAAAGTGTTACCAAAAATAAAAATCAAAAAAAAATTCAAGGTAAGTAATAATATAATTCTTATAAGAGAAAGACTAAGAGAAAACCTTAAAAACTAATATTTAACGTAAATACATCATTCAAGATCAGATATTCATAGCAGCTGGTGGTCATATTTAAATAATGATGTATGGGACCGGACTCAAACTGTTTTTAAGAAGACTATAGCAAATAGGCAACCAGCGATACTTTTTTATAGATTTTATTACACAGTGTGACTAAATATGAATTAATACACAAATAACAGACTTTCCTCCATTCTAACGCAGATTTTCTATGAAGTGGAGTTAGTTTGAAACTCAAATTATTTTTTGGTGTAAAGAAATTTGTAATTTACGATGACGTTTGTTCAAAAGCGGCAAACTGAGTTTGCCTTGAATTTCAAACTAAGTCCATTTTATAGAAAATCTGCATTAAAATGGAGGAGTCTGTTATTCGTATTTGTATTTAGACAAACTGTGTAATAAAATCTATAAAAATGTATTGGTGGTTGCCTATTTACTATGCTATAGAGCCCTCTTGAAAGATGATTCTAACCCTATTGAGAACTTTCAAATTAAATTCGCAAAATATTCTAGAAATGCGTGTTTTAACGCAAAATTGAAAAATGGAATGTAGTATGCAAGAAAATTTAATTTCATGAATAATAAAATAATATTTTGCATATTTGCCTTGATTTTTCATAAGTAAATAAATTTTTATAAAAATAATAAATAATAATAAAGGCGGTGAATTCTGGCAGAGCTACTTTTTCTAATCGTTCATTTTTAAAGAAATTCCAGGTAACGATACTCAAAGTACATTTTAAAACAATCATACAACATACAAGTACATATGCAACCCTATGCAACCCGTTTCCAGATTTGGTCAATCTAATTTTCAGTCGAATTGTGATCAAGAACAGAATTGGGACTATAAAGTAGCGTACAGAATTATAATATATTAGAGAGAGAAAACTATAAGCTTTTCAGCACGTATATTGTGCTGCCTAACTAACTGCAGCATAGCTCATTCTTATAATTTTGTAACCAATAATCGCTTAGTAAAACGCCACTGTGGCAAATATGGTTGCATACAATTGGATATTGCATATTTTTACGAAGTTCATAGGAAAAATTATTTAGCGAATTGAATTTCCCATCGAAATGGCTTATTTAAAAAATTTTATGCAAAAAAATCGTTAATAAACATTTTGAAAAAAGCAAAAAATCGTTAATAAACATTTTGAAAAAAGCAAAAAATTCGGTTTTTTTATTTTTTTTTACTTTTTTGCCTCTACTTTTTTTTTAGTGAAGATAGAAAAAAAGTAGATAAAATTTCCTTCAAAATAAAGAGGTTGTATAGTATTTTTGGATGAAAATTGAATGATATATGGCCGTTCAAACTTACAATTAATTAGCCAATTTTTCGATATTCGTCGCGTTTAATACATTTAATACGTTTTAATTCTCACTTTTTGCAAAAAATAAATTAAATAAGATTCAAGAATTTTCATCACATGACTTGTTCGAAGAGTTATTAAAAATGAAAAAACCACGGGGTGCTATTAAATTAGAGGGTTGAAATTGAAGAAAATGCTCTTTTGCAGTTTTTTAAATATAGCACGAAAACGGAGTAAAATTTCGGTATAGTTCATAGGAAAAATTTTGTAGATAATTGAATTTCCCATCGAAATGGCTTATTTAAAAAAATAAAAGAAAAATTTTATGTAAAAAATCGTTAATATTTATTACTAAAGCTACGCATATTGCACATAGCTACAACTTGTATCCCTCTGGTTGCCGTCTCAAAAGTAAGGATCACAAAATGACATAACAGTTTATTCACGGACCGACTGTAAAGACTGGGTATCTACTGCGAGAATAGACAAATAAGGAAATCGTACATAATAGTTTATGTAACTTTCGGTTTGCTTTTGCGGTTAGAATTTAAAGAAGAACAATTTTCACAAATTAGGGATAGATAATAATATGTCTCAGTGTACAGTGAGTGGTACAGAATCAAATACAGTGAAAGCTTTGAAACAATCTCCTTTGAATCGCCATAAAAATCAAAATGCTGTTGCAAGAATAATCCCACTATGTAAAATAAATATTCTTTAGTTTGTTGATTATCATGTAAATCCTTTGGTATCTCTAGAACAAGCTATATTTTTGCAATATTCAAAAGTATTCTTTGAAAAGTTCTTGATAGATCCATCAGTCCTAACAAATCACAAATATCCTAACAAATCTAAACAGTTTTTTTTATGTCTCAATGATTTTCAGGGGTAGGAAAGTTTTTTGTGGCCAATATTTTTCGGTCTAGATTTGAGTCCATTTGTCTAAATGGATTTTAAGGTTATCTGTTTTAAAGGGTCTAAACATTTTGCGGAGGCTTAGTATATGATCTTGAAGGGAAGTCCAGAAAATAATTACATCATCCATGTAAACTAGGCAAATTTTGTTGTAAAGGTTGTCCATTACTCTCAAGGTGTTTGGGGCGTTCTTCAACCCCAATGGGATACGGGAAAACTCATAATGTCCTTGTTTAACTGTAAACGCAGTCCACGCAACGTGGTCGTGGTTTGGGTTGATTTTTGTATCTACGTTGCAACACTACTTCCTTTCTTCCTTTGTCTTGTGATACTTTTGCTTCGTCCACAAAATTCTCATCTTTGGCTTTTTTTAAAGAGAAACCTTTATGCTGAGTTTTACCACCATTCGAACAAAAATTCATATCACTCGATCACGTTCTTCATCTAGTTATTATTTTAAATGTCGATCTATTTTTATTTTATTTGTGTTAGTTATTAGCATATTCATAAAAAAGTTACGAACATGGAAGTGTGGGAAATCTGTCTCTGTATGTCATACAACAAATGTAAACAGTTTTAAGGTGATATTAAATATGTTTTTTCATGATAAACATTCGGTGAGCTATATTTGTATATACGAGTAGGTAAGTTGGAGTAAGTCGTATTATTTTGATCCTAGGTGATGTACCTATAGCGTAGTAACCTTTTTCCTTACAAATACAAATATTTTGCGAAACGTAAGTGATAAATATTTAGCCATCAAAATATATCTCTCCTGCTGTTTCTCCAATTATCTAATAAGATAATCTTATAAAGCAATATCTATAAGATCAAAAGTCGGTCATATTTTGCAACATACATGTTGTTTAATTAAAAATCTGTTGAACCCGATGCATCTGCCGTATTAAAATATTTCATAAACTTAATTATGAAATCGAGTGAGA